ACAGCATCCAGGGCTTTAACCCACTCATTTTGGGATGGTTTCTGCATGTCCTGGAATAGGGCGCGACCATCCCTGCTGGTTTTGCATCTTCAAGAGCCCCTCAGTGCCCTCCCGCTTCTCCTACCCCCCCTCACAGAAGAATGGCCCACACCCTCCAGAGCCACATTATCGAGGCTGAAATAGAAGCCCAAAGAGAGGTAGGTGCAGGAGGCCAGCTAACGCTTGTTGACCAGGTGGTTGGCAGCAGCCTCCACCTCGGTGGAATAATTCTGATGAATCTGGGAGTTCACGGTTGCTCAGCAAGAAGGAGATAAGCTCAAAAAATGGTATTGACTAGTCCCAGAGGCAAATGATGGCTTGAGATTATGATTTCAAAGGTGGTGACTGGAAAAGAGTTAGGAGGGTGGCCCGAGGCTGGAAGAAGGGATGTTGTTGATAATACACACAATATGTGCTAACCAATTGTTTGTATTATTGGAAAAGGCTGCCAATCAACAATGGGCTATTACTATTTAACAGTAGTTAAGTTTTTGGGGAGTCAAAAGCTATGCAGTGATTTTTGACTGCAGGGATTGGCACTGTAATTTTCATGCTGCCCAAGAATCAGCTTATTTCCTAACTGCCACTCTGCTGACTCATTGCTAGTGACTGCTTATTCTTTTTCCAGAGCAACCCCTGTGCATCCCTTTTGTAACAGTTTTTACACTTGTAATTACTTGTTCATTGTCTATCTTTGCCATGAACAGTAAATCCAGGAAGGAAATAATGGTCTTTTTTCTTCATCACTGAATCTCCTGTGTTTATCTCAGTGTCTGCCATGTAATAAGTGCTCAATAAACATTTGTTGAATGAACTGATAAGTTCTTAACCTTAGAGTCACATTTCTAAGCTTAATTAACTTAATTTGATTTAATGTAGAAGTCAGTACTTCCTAGTAGCTCCTGCTTTCTGGGAAGTATTATCTCCAAGCATACAGAATAATTTGATTCTTCTGATTAAAATTATGTTGGGTAGACTTACTTCATGGGAGGGTGAAGATATAGATTACCCTAGGTTAATCTGATTTTTTTTAAACAGAATCACCCAATGCAAACCATCATTCAATCCATTCCCTCAAATATTTATTGAGCTACTACTATGTATTAGGCCTTATAGGCCTAGTAGGCTGAATATTGTATTAAGTTTCTTAGAGCTGTTGTCATAAATGACACACACAACAAAAATTCTTTCACTGTTATGAAGGCCAGAAGCATACACCCTCCAAAGGCTCTAGGAAAGAAACCTTCCTAGTCTCTTCTGGGTCCTGGAAGCTCCAGGCATTCCTTGCCTTGTGGCTGCTCATCTCCACAGTCTCTACCTCTGTTTTCACATGGACTTCTCTTCTTCGTCTTCTCTTTTGTCTCTTTGTCATTGGATTTGGGTCCACCAGCTAATACAGGATGACTGATATCCTTAACTTATTTGCACCTACAAATGCTCTCTCTCTCTTTTTTTCTGTAGGGGCAGAGAGAGGGGTAATGCAGATGTCATCGTTCAGCTTACTATAGATACAATAGTGAATAATAAAATCCCTGACCTCATGGAATTCGTAAAAAAAAAAATTACAAAAGAAGTCATTTCAATAAAACATGATAGAAATTTATTGGTAGAGGTAGTATAAGGGTCTATGGGAACATAAGTCTGTGAACCTAATCAAATCTAAACAGTCAGAGAAAAGCTTCCCAAATGATGTGATGTTCACGTAAGAGGACTGACTAGGACTTGACCATGAAAGAGAGTTTGGCACTCTCTTTCAAGCAACTGGAAGAAATTCAGCATAGTTAGTGAATGATATTAATCTGGAGATATGTATTTAGAGCCATTTGTAGAGAGCCTTGTGAACAAAGTTAAGGACTATAGACAGCCTTCATCCTGAGATAGAGCTCGGTGACTGGCCAACACTAATATGATAAAAAGGCAGAAATTATCCCCATTAAGGACCAAGAGCTGCAGCACAGGTCATGAGTCTCTCTCTTATTTTCAAAGGCCAATCTTGTTCTTCCCAATATTTGTAGTCTTTATGGATAACACAGTATCATAATAAAATTGCTCTGAGAGGTTGTGACAGACATTTAATTAAACATTCTCATTTTACAGACCTGACACCAGGGTCAAGCAAAATGGATTGAGGTCCCACAAAAGCACTGGATCTAGCCATTTGTTCTGTTAGTGAAAATGGTCATGTAAAATATTGGCATCAGCCTGGGCCTGGAGCCTGGCAAATCAGAGTTAGATTGCCAGCTTCCCTGTGTATAAGAAGTGTGACCTTATACTAATACTATAACCACTTAAACTAGGAATAATAGTAGTACCTACCTATTAAGGTCATTGTGCAGAATAATGCTGAATTTGTGCAGAATTATGCTGAATTTGAAGTACTAAGTATAGTGTTCGAGGAGAGTTTATTATGAAACAAATAGTGGCTGCTGTTGATGATGATGGTGTTCCTAATATTTTCATAATCATCACAGCCCCATAATCCATGGCATTTTACTCCCAGTATCATAGTGTATCACCTTATAGGCTCTTATTTTCAAATGACTTATATATTTATATATAGTTGAGCTTTAAACAACATGAGGGTTAGGGACACCAACCACCCCCATTGCCCTATGCAGTCAAAAATCCACATACACATTTTGACTCCCCAAAAACTTAACTACTAATAGCCTACTATTGACCAGAAGCCTTACCAAAAACATAGTCAATTAACACATATTTTGTATGTTATATGTATTATATACTATATTCTTGCAGTAAAGTAAGCTAGAGAAAATAAAATGTTAAGAAAATCATAATAGAAAATACACTTACAATACCATGCTGTATTATTTTTTTAAAAACGTGCATATAAGTGGACCCATGCAGTTCAGACTTGTGTTGTTCAAGGGTCAACAATATGTTAATCTTCAAAGAAGAGTGTCTAGGATTTCTGGTGCAGAAGTTAAGAAACAATTACACAGGTATATGCATTTTTCAAATTGTCACAACTTAATATTCTGTTATTCAATTAAAATTTTAATTGAAGCAAAGTTCATAAATATGTAATTACAAGGGTGAAAAAGAAGATACATTAGTAAAACTGGCAATTTGCTAAGTAATTATTTAAGTTAAACAACACAGTGTTCTATAATAAAGTAATCTGATTTTCAAAAGGCCCAAGTACATAATCTTCTCCTCCATCTGAATTTTGAATATATGGCCCCAATAAATTATTTGCTACCTGGCTATTGTGAAAATATAAGCTCCAGTTTTAAAACTCTTGAACTATATTATATATTTTACAAATACAACAGTTTTGCTAAGTAAGTGTTTTCTTTTTAAATGCCATCTTCTTTATCTTCAAAAAGTTAATGTTGTTTTCTGTAACATCTATTCTTTATAATTTGTTATTCAATAATTTTCAGTGTGAAAATGTGACATTTTAGAGCACACATTAATTCCCACAATATCAGTGCTATTTTGAAGATTAGGAAATTCATTGAGGACCTAATAAAACATCTTCACATTATTGGATAAGATGCAACACTTTAACTTTTATCTGGACAGATTATGAGCTAAAAGAAATAGATGCCTGAATATATCTTAATTAAATCATACTGATGAAAATCTAATTCCAAGGTTTAATGGATTTCTTACTGAAACCTGAACATAAATGATTTTTAATTTTATTTACATTTAGATTTCTCAAAAAGCCTTTTGAATGCTATGACTGGTTTCTTACTCAAGAATAGCTTTCAATGTTCAGATATTTTCTAGTAGATATTTCATTTTTATTGAGGAAGTTACTACTCTGGATTTAGATTTGCACATAGCATACTGCATACTTGATTCCCAGAAGAAGATCTACTTCTGTGAAAGTCTTGAAGTATCCAAGTTTAATAAGTTGTTGTATTAGAAAATTAAATGTTTTTCGGTTATATTCTTTCTTTGGTTCAGTTTTCTGTGTGTAAATGATTTGATTAATAGGCTTTTACAGTAATCAAAATAAAAATCAAGCTTTATTCTAGTTAAAGGAGATTAAGGGATTGATTGACTCAATATTTTAGAATATTGGTAATTAACTGAATTATTACTTCAAGGTATAGCATAAGGAGAAATGAAACAAAAATCTGAAGGTTGAATTCTGGTGACGATCATGTGTAGAGTTGGGCAAGTTCTGTACCTTCCCTGGGCTTCAGTTTTCTTGTCTCTGTTCCTAAGCAATAGTTCTTATCCTATTCAATAAAAAATATATCTGATTAAAACTTCAATAATACATAAAATAAGAAGTGCCAATTAATTAATTAAACTAATATTTTTAAAAGATTCCTGGGAAGTAGTAAAAGCATCCAATATAGTTTTAGATAGTTTTGTCAATGAAGAATTAATATGTTGATACCATATGTTATCTAGTCTTCTTTTCAAAAAAGGAAGCTTTCAAATGTCATTTTTTTGATTACTGCTAGACATCTAAGAACTTACCATGTACACCCTTGTGCTGTAGAGTGAGAGTTCTTAAATTTAGTGTTTGAATTAAGCTCCATGAAATATAAAAAAGCTCATTCTTAAGTGAATTATGCAGTAGTCTTTCCACTTTGTGGAAATAGACACCAAACAGTGGGTAAAGCCTAGTCTGTTGATCAAAGTGTTTAAGGAAATAAATTAGCAATTACATAAACAAAATCCTTTTAAGTCCATCTGCTGATTTAAATTTGCAACAAATATTTAATCCTAAAATGTGGGATACTAAGAATCCATCTACTTTATTTGTATTTTTCTGAAAAAAGAAGAAAAAGTGATGTGGGTTATGACCTCAACCTTCAGCCCTTTAAGTTTGCATCCTGTGTGCCAAATAAAAGCAAATACAGTACGGATTTTTGGTGTCCATTACTATATTTTCAAGTACATACTAAGTTGTAAAATAATTTTGGTAGTGAAATGTCACCCAGGGAAATTTTAATATTGTATTTGTGTTTCAGCTTCTGACATGGCGGCGGAACAGGGACAGATTCTCGTGATAGCCACTGCGGCTGTTGGGGGATTTACTCTCCTCGTCATTCTTACTTTGTTCTTCTTAATCACTGGGAGGTAACTAAAGCACACCAGATGATTATCAAGATTTGTGAATAACCATTCTCTTATATACTTTGTATTCATACACTTTTCAACATAACAAACCAGGTCTGAGAGAAAAGGGGATCAGGGGAGATTCTGCTCTAAATGAAGTTTGTACAATAACAGAACCACCTGGCTAGTTCTCTGTTATCAATACACTGCTGAATATGAAAGCAACTAATGATTAGATTAAAACACTTTGAAAGCTATGAATGATAAATTCTTATTCAATTAAGTTACTTCTGAGGTTTTCCTTTGCTACATTCAAATTATCCCATGAAAGGGATTTTTCTTGGGGGAAAAATAATTCAACAGAGAATTTATATAAAAGTTCTTTATAAACTTAGTGTTATAGAATGTATTATATTTATTCATTAAATAGTGAAAGGGTCTGTATTAGTATTATGTTCATTGGTTTTATAAACCTGGTATTACTCCACTTTAGTGTAATAAGGATGAAAATTTAGAGTAACAATAAATTTATCATAACAAAAGACCTAGATTGGAATCCTGACTAGCTGGTCGAAGTGCTTCACCCATCTAAAACTTTTATTTCTGTTTTTGTACATATTTGGTATAACAATGAATTAAAACCATTTATTGGTTTTTTGATATATTGGATTATTACCATGAGCCAAGTACTGACAATACAGAGATGTGAGTAAAGATAGTATGTATGAAATCACATAAAAGAACAAGTAGTATTTCTTATGTAAGCCTTGATATTAAGCCTCAATAGGCCTTTGTCAGATATTGTCAGTATATTACATCATATTTTTATTCCCACAACAGGAACAATAATTCCTGCTAAAATATCAGTAGGGGCACAAAAGAATACCTCAAAAGTTTTCTTGATAATCTGAAAAACACACACATTTCAAAAAACCAATGTCATGATTTAAAAGTGCAAGGAGAATGCCAGCCAAAAACTGTGCCTCCATGAGGACACCTGCCAAAGTATGCCATCTCAACTGGAAAATGTTGATATTGATAATAATCAGAAATGACAAAGAGCTACCTTCAGGGGCAATAGTTCAGTGAACTATAAACACCCTTTGTTTTGTTCATTTTAAAACTTGACTTATGTATCAATATTTTATTAAAATTAATTTTAAAATTATAGAGGATATGCATGTATGGAAAATTTATTACCTACAATTTTAGAGCAGGCTAAAGGTGCAGAGCAATAAATTCACAAGTATTTAGAAGGCAGTTGTCAAAGGTGGGTCCCTCCCTGACTGTAATTGGTACCCATTGGAGGTGTCAGATTTAGTTGTAACAAACCCACTTTTATAGAACTTATCAAGGAAAAGAGAAATACCTGGATATTGTAATGTGGTTGAGTTGAAATGGTGACTTCTTTATGACATTAATTGTAAAAGGGACACATTTACCCATGTGTACTTAAATATTTTCTGAATTAATAGGCCTAGTATTGCTCTTATAATAGAGTATCTCAGAGTCTCTTGTGTTGGGAGACTGATTAGATGATAGAAAAGTCATAGCTATAGTAATAAGAAAAAAGAAAAATATCTAATGAAAGAATGCAGGAAATACTGATAAATTAATCGTAATAGAAAGGACTAGTTTGGGCTTGTCCTGGTGACATCACCAGACACCATTGCGCATCACTCTCCTATTTCTCACTCCCTTTATACCTCATGCTAACCTCTGACAGCTCCTGCCACCATCACAGCTTTTACAACTGTCTTTTAGTGGGCAAAAAACAAATTTTGGATTCTTTAAACCAACTAACCATTTGGTTGAGAACAGAATATTCAATATAATATCCTACAAATACTAAACAGGACCTACAAAATCCTTAGTCATTAGCAGGGGAGAACTGGTTATAAAAACAACAGCAGCAACAACAGAAAGAAGAAAACAAAACCCTATGCATCCTGGTGGAGGTCTAAACTTGTTTGCCAGAAAAAACAAATCAAAAACCCACAAACACAAAAAACAAAACAAAAATCCAAAAATAACAAGTTAGAGTTTTTCTGATCCTATCTAGGACTGTCTTGCAGGAAGAGGGATTAAACACAGTTTTGGTGCAATGAAAGTCACAATGACAATTAGGTTAAAAAAAAATAAACATACCAACACTTAATGTGTTGCTATATGTTTAACAAACCTTTGGTCCTTAGGCTAAATCAGTTTGCCCTAATAAACTTGAGAGCTGGGCTCAAATGTTATCTTTATTTGGGATTTCTAAAGCACAATTTGAATATCACTTAAAAAGATAATTCAATGATAAAAGAAAAATTTGTACTAAATTATTTTCAGCTTTTATTTTCCATGTTTGCCAGCTTATATGACATTAGAAGCTACTTTACTATTCTACATCCTGGGGAAGACAATTCCAATTACACAAGATTAAAAAAAAAATTCATTTTGAAGTATCCCTTAAGCACTTTGATAAGGGGAGTACTCATTGGAAATTATTCTGTAAAAACTCTAAGACATTTCTGAATAAATACTCAGTTTGCCATAGGGTTTGAGGACAAATTCACATTGAGAGATTGGATTGTATACCACAGATGTATTCTGTTTAATCATTTGGAATTAGAAATTTGATGAACTGTCGAATCATATGGATGCTGATGAATTTAATCATGTTGAAGAAATCATGCAAGATAAGCATCTCCCCTTTCTTAGAGCACAATCATCCCAAGAGAGAATGGAACACACCTCTACCAAATTTCTGACATTAAAAAAAAGAAATCATGCTCTTTAGCAATGAAACTAGAAGACAGTTGTCTAAATGCCTGAGATTTTTGACTCAAAAAACATGTTCTCACTTTGACTTTTAATGCTTTTTGCCAGCTCTAACTATTAGAAGTTATATAAGGAAGGATATGTTGGTTATTTCTGATTATAGAATATTCTCTAAGATTCCTATCATTTGGATTAATCAATCCACTTGGGAGTATTTTATTCTTATTTAGGGTTAATTTAGATGTATATAAAAAACCTTGTATGGAGTATTTTCACATGTTATAAATATTTTCATTAAAAAATGGCCTTTATGATAAGAACTTTGCCTATGGGTGATAGGTATTTTAGTTGGTTTTGATTCTCATTCAGTTCTAAAAATAAGATTCTATTTACCTTTTTAAAAGGTGCCAGTGGTACATAAAGGCCAAAATGAAGTCAGAAGAGAAGAGAAGGAACCACTTACAGCAGAATGGGCATTGTAAGTAGTACAGTGACTCTTCCATTGTTTTACATTGTTCCAGCCCTCGGGACTTCATTTTAGACTTACATCCACGGAGTTGAGAAAATCTGAAAAAGTGTACTTCCAGCCTTAAGAGTTTTCATCTGGTTTCCAGGTTTGTTTGTGGAAATTGCACCTGCTTCTCATTAAATGACAGTACTTTTTTACTAATTCTGCTTGCTGAAAAACACAAAGACTGAATATGCTAAAAATACAAGATGACTGCTTATATCTAGTCATTTTCCGCTCACAATGGCTCCTGAATGTGAGTTGGTTTTATTTAGTAGAGCATTAGCCACAGAAATATTAAGGAATTTTTATTCCTTCTTGTAGGGATTGTCATTTTAAACATATAACAAATCAATTTACAATTCATTAACACTAAAAAAGAAAATCAGCTCTTTAACTTTTAGAATATGTATGAAATCCTTGAGCTGACTACAAGGTTATATTCATTTGTAGAATCTCTTCCCAAGCAAGCTATAATTACCACTATAGTTGGTTTGATAATTGCCACCCTCTCCTCCCCAACGCCCACCTACACCTCCACATCCAAATGGCAAACTACTTTGTCAAGACAGTTTCTCTGTCGTGAGACTCTGAATTAACAAGAAAGGGATGTTCTCTAATTAACCGCAATATAGATATAATGTGTGAGGCACATTGTTTAACTATTTAAATTCATCTTTACTTCAAGTTGAGCAAAAGGAATAAGGGACTTTTCAATCTATACCACTTGCTGAAGGGGGCAGAAAGGATTTAAGTGATGGTTTAGAGCTATTTCGGAGGCTCACAGATTTTTCAGGGGTCTGCGGACTATCTGCATAGAATGTTCCCTCCTCCCTCACCCATGTTCTGACTCAGAGGATCCATGGTAGGGCCAAGACACACAGTTTTAGCAAGGTCTCCCTAGTTGCTCTTTTTTTTACAATACGTTTGAGGCTTGCTGCCCTGACAGAGAGCAGAACGCTGACAGCCACTACCAACCATGAGATGAGCTGGAAACACTGTGAACAGTTGCAGAAAACTGGATCCAAACACCTGGACAGATGACATACACCAAGAAACCTTAAGATTCACTGCAGGGCATTTAGTACTGAAATGCAGAGGGAAAAGATGCTCCTGAGGTATTTGTTATCTGTTTCCCAACTAGCAGTTTAGCTTAAACTAAACCAGGTGGGCCCAGCAAGAAGCAGTGAAAATAACCATAAGCAGCCAAAGAAGTAAAAGAAGGATAACAAACAGATGTTTAAGAAGATATGGATAAGTTAAATAAGTAACGAGATAGTCAAAACTGGAGCTAAGTGGGTTTTTTCCCCTATATTGCATATACTGTGTTTACAAAAAAAAAAAAAAAATGATATTAATGCCATAAATCCAATTAGACACCACTAGTCATCTAGTAGTAGCCACTGGATTTGCGTTTAGATTTTTCAATCTGAAAACCACAATTCCTATTAAGTTATAAAAATATTTGTTCTCTTTTCTTCCAATCTAAACTTTGAGAAGTCAAGAAAAGCACAGTACTTCAGAATCATTGTCAGGTCTAAATATACCTAGAATGCTTTATTGGCGTTATTTTGGGAAGTACTAATCTCCTCAAGGGTGCATATCTGGTAGCAGGAGACAGTAGGCAAAAAGTAATGAAAGAAGGCAACAAGCATAGAATTCATGAAGGAAATTCTGCTAAAAGTGGACATTTCATCACCTCCTCTAAACTCACTTTATTTTTCTTTGTTTGCTTTTGAGGTTTTCTTGCAAGAGCATGTTTCTAAGGAAACCTAGCCAATACTTAATAAGGGTATTATACGGTTTTCAAAATCAAAAGCAACAAAACTAGTATCATCCTTCCACTATGCCACAAATTTGTGTTGATATTTTAATCCCTACTAATTCAAAATTATTAAAGGTTTGCTGTGTGATTATTACCTATAAAACCATACTTCAGGCATTTGGAAAGATATGTGTAAGAGATGATCTGTCCTTCAGAAACTAGCAGTCTAACCTGGAAAACTGAAACCAACCAGCAAAACCAAGGAGTATCCACAAGCAGTCTGACTTCTTTAGATACTGGAAGAAATTGTGAATGAATATATAATCACACATTTAAGATTTCCAGGCATCCCTATTCATCATCCTAACTTCCAGTGGACTGTGAGCACTCCATCCCTTTCAAAGAGAGTAGGGGCTACACAGCCAGTGACCAGATTTGGACTTTAGATCCCCACCCTTAACTCCAGGATAGGCGGGGGTAGAGGGGGAGAATTCTTTCCAGGATCATGTGACTTATGGAAGCAAACCCAGGAACAGGAGGGGCTCCATTGTCATTGTCCATTGCTGTGCCAAAGGGTCTGTTCTTCATTGCCTGAGAGTTTCTGGACTGAGGAACAAATTTGGAAAACCCAGTGCTTAGTGCTAGTACAAAGGGTCCAGGAGGGACACTAACAGGTTTGCTTGTTTGGGGGGGGAAGGTCTTTTCTTTTTCCCCCATGTCCAGAGCTAGATCAGGTATGCAATGTATGAGTTGTTATTGAATAAGTGAGCTGATTAAATATTTTACAGAGATATAATAAATATGTTTTCTGGAATCTATCATCTCACTGTCTGTTATACTACCCGGTTGTTTTGCATTAACAGGTAAATAAATTTTTTATTTTAAGTACTCAAGACTTAATGGGGGGTGAGGAGAAGAGAAGTGAATTTAAATAATTAACAAGAATGACTACTTTAGTATGTCAATCCTTGTTTTAAAAATACACAATATGTGTAATCGCTAAACTATTTTAAACTAAATCAATCTTTTATTTTGTTGCAGTACGTTTTCCAGGAATTAAAACTTACATAGATCCAGATACATATGAAGACCCATCCCTAGCAGTTCATGAATTTGCAAAGGAGATTGATCCCTCAAGAATTCGCATTGAGAGAGTCATTGGGGCAGGTAAACACAAAGTCTGTATTTTTGAAGATAAGATTTCTTGATGGTTTTGTGACTGGTTTATCAACATAATATTTTAAATCTTAGTAGTTTTAATCATTGAAAACTTTAAAGAACTGAAAAGTAAAATTATCTTATATATGTTGTTTTTTTAAGTATTATAAACATGTAAATTCATTTTCTAAGCAATGAGAGAATTCACAATTTTTTTTTTAATTCCTATAGTCTTCTTTCAATATGGAGATAACTTACAATGAAACCAAAGTGGTGCAGAAATTTATTTTGAAGATGCAACTTCTGGAGTTTTTCATAAGTTACTATGGATTTACTCAGGTCCCAACGTCTATAGACATATACTATAGTTACTATTTATATTGAGGACCTTGAGGCTCTGCAAGATCCAGAAGTGTTCTGAAAATCATTGAGGATAAAATTAGCTTCAATATAATGTTTTAAGTCATTTCAATGCTAATTAGTGATTTTCCCTATGTAGAATGTTCAAATAGAACACTATTTTATGCAGCTGTTCTGGATAAACACAAATTTGTTGTGAATTGGCTCCCAGAAGTTCACTCTGTATATTACTTAGGACAGAGACTAAGCTACTGTAACAGAGACCCCAGAATATTTAGTCCTCTTTCAAATCTTTGACCTAAGATGTATAGTCCATGTTAGCAGAGTAGCTATTATTCAGGAAGTCTTAAAAGGACAAATTTCCTTTCATTCTTTGCTCTGGCTTCCTTTAGTCTATCATCCTCCTCTGAATGGCCAAAGCCTTCCAGCCTATTAGAAGGAGAAGGAAAGAGTTCAGTCATTTTTTGGGAGGGTGGAGGGAGGGCTTTGTCTTTAAGGTAATAACATGGAAATTGCAAACATGTCTTCAAATCTCAATGGTCCAAATGCAATTACCTGGGCACAAAGAGAGAGAGAGTTTTGGAATATAATCTCTGACTGGGCAGCCATGCATGCAGCAAAGAAGTAAAGGGAGAAGTGTAAGTAGAGAAGGGAGATTGGATCCTGAACAGGGGAATTGTTCTCCCCTAGATACTGGTTATCTGTGGAATCCTTTGGAGACAGCAGAACATACCAAAGTATGGCCATTCCAACTAGGTATCGTGTCTTCACAAAGCCCAAAGAAAGCGGGTGATTATCCTTTGTCTCTTTCTAAAGGCTTTCTTCACCAGAGGGCCAGTTGCACAGTCTGCAGGGACCAATGCAAATGAAAACGTCAAGTCTCTTGTTAAAAAGTTACTAAGAATTTCAAGACCGTGACATCAGAGCTTTAAGCAAATGACAAGGTCCATCTAAACTCAAGACTCTGTATGACTGTTCATGTTAAATGGAATCTGTCCCCTGAATACACAGAAATCTAGCCCTGCACAAGAATTCCAGAGACATTTGGAGATAGCCCTTCCTTATATCACTTTATTCCCTATGCACAGTGAATCATCTCATCTCCTGCAAGGCCAGATCTTCCTTTGAAAGCTGACACAAGGGGCCTATACACTTAATCCTAATGCTCACAGCTGAAGAGGCTATCTTATCAGAAAGATGAAGAACCTGGAATGAAACCAGATTCTCTATTATCTTCTGTTGAACATAAAACACATCAATGGGCATTAAAGGTATAATTGAAAGAGTAATTGCATTATATTCATTTAGTTTGGGGATTCATTTACTTAAGACAGCAGAGAAATAGAGAAGAGAGGAAGCCAAATAATCCCACTGCACCTTGCACTTGGCCTTCATCTTCTGGTCCCCAAGAAAAAGTGGTATGTACTTTTGTACTTCTGTGTTCTCGCCTCATGTAGATTCAGTAGAAGCATTTTCCATTATAGCCTTTTGTGTACAAATTAAATATCAGTGACTGAAATCATAGTGTTGAGAAATAAAATCAAATATCTAAGTGTTAACAAATAAATTATTTTCATTTTAGTTTTTAGATTTTCTTCAGCCAACATGTAAATTTTGCCCTAAAAAAGTAAACATTTGCCAAAGCAAAAGGTAACTGTTAAAGAGACTCTTGTACTATCATATCCCCCCTACCTTGTCTAACCTCTAATATGTTCTATTGGGATACCTCTCATTTGGCAAAGACAGAATATCTAAACCATATAATCAATCCTATACATTAATGTCTCCTTTTTATATTTATTCACCTTTGATTATTTCAACTTTCAAGCAATATGCTGTCCATCTTCAGAAAAATCATAAAAATGCTTTATCAGACAAAATTTTAGCATAACATTCCTCTTTGCATTCCTGGCTAGTAGGACTTTGTTAATTAACCCCTTTCGGTCATATTCCTAAAACTCTATTTGTATGTGGAAAAAACTAGTGAATGTGTGGACATTTCTCATAGCAGCAGAGTGAAAAAAGCACTGTTTGGTCAAACTAAAGAAAAATTAATAGAATTATGTTAACATCTATGACATAATTATGTAACTGGTTACTTGACCAATATTTTACTATAAACATTTTCTATAGATGGTCTCATATCCTTTAGTTTTTCCCCACCTATTTAATTGTTTCTTCTCAGACTCCTACTTTCTCATCATCTGTGTGCATTAGGTATTCCCTTTGGAAACGTAAATTAAATTACTTAAGTGGCAGTGTAAACACGGGACAGAGGTGTGTTGGAGTGGGTGAGATGGGAGAGAAGCAAGATACCAGGTCTTAGCAATTGTCAGGAGAAAGATATTTAGGCCTCATTAAAGCACTGCACATAGAGAGTAGCCATAGAGAGGATACCTTTGTGTATTCCACACAGAGGATATCTTTGTGTAATAGGAAATCACAGTTTGTTACTGAGGAAAAATCAGTAAGACCTATGTGGCTTTTGGTAAAAAAAAATTTTTAAATGCTGTTCTTGGCTCTGTCCAGAGTAGTGAAATGTTCCAACTCTATGCAAAGAAGAGTCTACAGAGTCAGACTGTGGGTAGGCAACAGCTATAGTTGGTAGGCCTCTGACTTCTGGGGTTCCTTTAGTGGGATTAGATTGTGGATGAAATAGAAAAAAAGATGAGGGTTGGTAAAGCTTGTGCTCCCTACAGGCTCATGCTCTTAATTCAGATCAGGTCTAGATAAGTGTGAGTGTTCCAATTTGAATAGTTCCCAAAGTTGACTTGAATTTGGAAGTTAAATTGAAACCGAGCTTTGGAGTCAAACAAAATCAAGTTCTATAGTGATTCTGCGATTTAACAGTTGCATGATTTGGGCCAAATTCTGGGCTTCAATTTCCGCATCTGGAGAATGGGCATATACTGCCTACCTTCTGGGGTTGTTGCCAGACTTAATTGAAATATACACGTATAAACACCTGGCATTCAGCACAAGGGATGCAACAAATCATCTTGACCTGTCTCCTTTAGTGTGTTTTATCATTGAAGTCTTAACATAAATTGATACCTCCTTTGTAAAAATTGAATTTTAACCCTTGGTAACAATAATGCTTACCCTACCTACTTCCCTTTGGAGATTCTTCAATTCTGATGACAATGATGGTGATGATAATGATGATTCAGCACCTACTCAAGGCTTGGCCCTGGATTAAGTGCCTTTTACATATTTCCTTGTAAAACTGTCATAATAATTCCATGAGATAAGAAGTATTATTCTCATTTATAGATATAGAATGAGGTGAAGAAAGAGTAAGTGAATTGCTCAACATTATAAGACTACGTAGTAGAAGGAAGACCTGGAGTTTAAACCCAACTTTGATGGACCCCCAAAATTATTTCTGAGGCCAAAGAAATAATGCTTCAAATAAATAAAGAAGCAGACCATTAAACATTTTCACGGTGGGGGTGGAGAGACACTGTTTTGTGCAAGGCTGTTACATGCTGCCAGCCAATGGGTCTTATTAGAATTATTTTCCTTGCGTTTTGCTCTAAAGAACAAATGTCCTTCTAATGCCAATATTGTCCAATGCCTTTTATTGCTTGTATTTACATTTCTAAAATTTGCCTTCACCTTCTTAAATAAAGGTATGTCTTTCTAGAATATTAAAAGCCCTAATTTAACTAATGATAAGATTATTCAGAATAAGTAAAACATCTTTGAGCAACTGACTTATCAATGTAATTCAAATGAACTGTTTCAGAGAAAAATTAGCAAATCTCATGTTGGTGTAATAAATAGCAATAAATAACATCTTTTTTTTTTTTTTTTTTAAAGACTGCTTTCCAGGCTTCTAATTGGGAGACATAGTATATAATCATTAAATATTTCTTAAATTAGTTGTTAAAAATTTAGTTGTTAAAAAAATTAGTTGTTAAAAAAAAAAAACAAAATAGCTACATTAAAGTTTTAAGAAAGAAAAAAAAAATGGGAAATGTTTTAATCTATAACGTTTTTTAACATGTTCCCTGAGAAATGTTTGTTAGATGGCTAATATCTACTTATAAAAGGCATGGTGCTAATTTTTTTTTCATATTAAGTCACTATGCTTACAAAAACATGTAATCAACCTGCCTTCTACAACCTTTGTTCTGGGATTCTCAACTTTATAACTACCCAAATATTATGTGACAAATCCTTAGAAAACTTATTCAGTATCTAGGCTGAATACACACACACACATATACATATCTATATACATACTTAAAATTCCCTATGTTTCACTGTAAATTTTACTTTTTTTTTTTTAAATGAGTTTTCTAGGGCACTTTTTTTGTGTGTGTATATCACTATCCTATTTAATAGTGGCAGCTTATCTTTGTTCATCAATACAGGCCTGAATTTCCATGAAAATGCACATTTCCATTTAAATGAAGTGAGCAGCTCTGTTGCGTAGGAGACTATCAAGATCATCTATCTTTGACTTTTTGCATCATAAAATTAAATACTGTGGCCAGAGAACTGTAAAACAGAAATTCCCAGGCTAAAAGAACCAAGCCAGATTAGGACAGAATCATTATTTTACACATATCTTGAGTAATAATGAGAAAACTTGTAAACTGAATTTTAATCATGGGCTGGAAAAGGTCATCAAAAGGCTCTCC